AAATTGTGTGTACAAACAAGCTTATAGGTGTCTTATTCACGACTGTGAAACACTATCAATGATGTCAACATAGAAGACAGATTTAAGTAAATTATATCAAGATCTTGTTATACTGTGTAGCCATTCAATTGATAAGTGCCATGCCCATGTAGAAACAAACGAGAGTATTTTTCATGTAAATAAAGCTAAAGCTAAAAATTGTGAGTCATGTGATTATAGTCTATTCAAACTATGCCTATGAGAATAAAAACAAGAAAATAATAAGAAAAATAAAAATAGATGTTGTTGAAGTGTCTTTTGAATTCAACTTTTATTTTATAATGTTTTAAAGTTCTTTCAATAATAAAAATTTTTAAACTTAATGATTGTCCCAGACCACACCTTCAAGAGTTAATAAGCATGCATTAAACGCCTCTGGCCTTAAAAACATGTAAAAATCTATTTATAAACACACACACTAACAAACTTCTTTACATGAATAAAATATGTATTTTATATTTTTATTTTGGCCTATCACATGAAAGGATACAAGGTGATGTCATGGGAAAAGGCTGTACCAGGAGTTGGCAGGCCTGAGCCATGGTCCAGACTCCCCAGGTTCACTGGAGACCAGGCAGAGAATGCGGCAAGATGCCAGTTCTCAGGTTCCCAACGGGAACAAATGGAGCAGAAAGATCAGCCCATAGATCCCTCCTTTAAATTACTGAATCGGACCTCTAAAGATATTAGCTTTTAATCTGTGGCCTAATTCGTGGCTAGCTTGAAAAATAAGAAAATGGTCAGAATGTAGTGTGCCATTAGCTTTGGTCAATTAAATAAGGTATATGTGAGGTAACATGCATGAAAACACCAACGAAAAGACCCTCATTCAACAGGTATTTATTCAGCATACAAAATGTCAGCCCTTATAAAGCTTATATGCTTTTTTTTACTTTTTTTCTTTTCTTTCTTTCTTCCTTCCTTCCTTTCTTTCTTTTTCTTTTTCAGACAGGGTCTCACTCTGTTGCCCAGGTTGGAGTACAGTGGCATGATCAGGGCTCACTGCAGCCTTGAACTCCCTGGGCTCAGGGGATCCTCCCACCCCAGCCTCCCAAGTAGCTAGGACTATAGGCACACACGCACCACCATGTCTGGCTAATTTTTCTATTTTTGTAGAGCTGGCTACATGTTGCCCAGGGTGTCAGATGATCACCCGCCTCAGCCTCCCAAAGTGCTAGGATTGCAGGCATGAGCCACCATGCCCAGCCAGGAGCTTATATTCTAAAGGAGAGGGGTGAGCATAGATGATAAACCAAATAAATAAACAACATTTAGTTGATCACATGGTAGTAAATGCTATGGAGAAAAATAAATCAGGGTGAGAGAGATGATTCTGGAGGCGGAGTTGGCAAACTTAAGTAGGGTCTCCAGAAGAAGGCTTCTGTGAAAAACGATAAGTGCGAAACAACCTGAAGGAAGTGAGGAGACAGCTCTCAGGACCCCTGTGGGCATTCTCACCGGGGTGGGAAACCACTGGGGGGTTTGGAGCAGATGGTGCTATGGTCTGATGTAACAGCTTCACTCCAGTTGCTGTGTTCGGAGTAAGCTATAGCAAAGCAACGTGGAAACAGGGAGATCAGTGAGGAAGCTGCGGCAATCACCAAGGCACTGCGATAACAAGTAAAATGGTGAAAAGTGGTTGCATTTGGATATATGCAGTTAGCATCAGACCATCACATCAGGTCAAAGAGCATAGGATTTCTAAACCAAACCTGCCTTAGACATAACATTTAAATGTGATTGTTATTATCATTAAAAATTGAAGTAAAAAAACAGGGTTAGCATAATTTCTTATTACCAGTTTTTTGATTGACATAATCATTCAGTTACATTTCTATCATATACTGTGTATGAACCATTCTTTTCATACAGAGTGTGAAGGATGTGTGGCGGAAGAGAAGTGAAGTCTAACCCAAGGTATGGGGCCAGAGATGGGAAAACTGCAGAAAGGCTTAGCAGCAAGGAAGACAAGGAGTCTGATTTGGGAGTGATTAGATGCCTATTAGATGTCCTAGTGGAACTCACAAGTAGGCCGTTGGATATAGAAGTCTAGAGTTAAAGGTGAGTCAGCAGGCTAGAGTTATCGATTTAGGAATTACCTGTAGATAGATAAATGATACTAAAGCCATGAGACTAGATGAGATCACCAAAAGAGAGTGCATAGATAGAGAAAACATCTGAGCACTAAGCCCTCAGAGAAGTCCAACGCTAAGAATTTGTGCAGAAAGGGGGTCCAACCAGGGAAATGTGAAAGAATGCCCAGTAAGTCAGAAGGAAAACTGGGAAACTGTGGCAAAAGCCAAGTGAAGAGAGCATTTCAGAGAGGAGGGATTCTTTCTGGAATACCAGTTGTCAGTGGTGGAATCTACACTTGCAGGTTTTCCATGACAAGTGAAGATGTCTATATAATAGAAAGAGATGGATATACATACTGACTGAAGGAAGGCTGTTTATAATTGCACCTCATAAGAAGAGCATATTTGTGTGTCAGTATGCTGTGCCATTATATTCCAAATAGATACCCGTTTTGAAACATCCAGGATTTCATGGTTTCCATACCTTTCCCCACCTCCATTATCACAAATAACTGTTTCTAATTGCTTTTATGATTGTTTTCCCCTTATCTTGTGGAGATATTTTCAAGATTGGTATGATTATAAATGGAAAATATTCTAATACTCAATGAGTGGGTTAATGAAGGAGCAGACCAATTATGAATTATTTGCTAAACTAGACTCTAAAAATGACATCTGCTTATTCATAAATGTTGAATTTACATTGGATTATGGATGTGTAATATTCTGGGAACTCATGGCCCTTTAAAAAAGTGAAACTGGTCTGTCAATATGTTCATCATAAGTACATGTTGAGCACATTTTATTCCTTAAGCTACTTTTCACCCCAAACCCTGACAAGGAAATCAGGCTTTCTTACTCTCTGATGAAATAGGGTGTTTTCTTTAAATCACCTTCCCTGATAAACCACCTGAGAGAAGGGAAAAAGAAACAGATGTAACTCAGTTGACCGCCTTGGGATATAGACATCCCATCTCCATTCGTCTTTGCTTTTACCGGATGTCAGGCTGCCAGTCTAATAAGACAACAAAGAAGGCAAGGCGGAGGTGGCTCAGGCCTGTAATCCCAGCACTTTGGGAGGCTGAGGCAAGCGGATCACAGGTCAGGAGTTAGAGATCAGCCTGGCCAATATGGTGAAACCCCATCTCTACTAAAAAAAAAATACAAAAATTATCCAGGCATGGTAGCCTGTAGTCCCAGCTACTCAGGAGGCTATGGCAGAAGAATCGCTTGAACCCAGGAGGTGGAGGTTGCAGTGAGCCGAGATCGCGCCACTGCACTCCAGCCTGGGCAACAGAGTGAGACTGCATCTCAAAAAAAATTAAAAATAAGGCAACAAAGAAAAATAAACAACAGTCTTTATCCCACTGGATAACTTATGGAAATAATCATGCATTTTAAAATTCAAACTTGGTTATATCATAAAAGGATTTTCTTGGTCTGTTTGCATAGCTGTATTTTAGCCCATCTTAAATAATCTGGACTTTGTTTTGAGATTTTTCTTGTACATAAATCTTATTTACCCTAAAAACCTTTTACAAAACATTTCTCCAGCAAAGTATGCTATATATACGCCATGTGGCATCATCATAAAATGTTCAACTTTATAGATGCTCATCTCTAGGCAATTCTGGTGAAGAATCAGTCAGCATAACTCTAAGAGTTGTTTTTTCACAGATGTACTGTGTAAATATACTGAGACAGTACACTAAATATAACTGATGGGGGCTCATCTTGGTGGATATGGGTAGCTTGCATGTTGCCTTGGCCTTATTGATTAATCTTCTACATTACTTTGTATGTCCTGCAAACCCATGTGCACCTGTCTCAATGCATTCAGTCTGTTTTACAGCCTTCTTCTGGCACTATCTAATGAAAACTATAAAAAGAAAATGTTTCTTTTCCATTACAGCAGCAACAAAAATTTCAGGAATGAGGCCACAAAAATACCATACCACATCACAGGTCTCTTCTTAATAGTCTAAAAGCAGTTAGCATCAGACCATCACATCAGGTCAAAGAGCATTGAATTTCTAAGCTAAACCTTCCTTAGATATAACATTTAAATGTGATTATTATCTTAAAATATTGAAGTAAAAAAAGGGTGAGCATAATTTCTTATTACCAGTTTTTTGATTGATATAATTGCTGAGTTACACTGATATCATATACTCTGTATGAACCATTCTTTTCTGTTAGATTGTAAATCCTAAAGACTAGGAACCAAAGTATCTTTAAATAAGTTTTATCTACTCTAGCACAGGGCCATAATGGGATAGTCCCTCTTTGACATTTACCACAAATATGTATTTACTAAAACTGCCACCTAGTACAAGCCCACTGTGCTCATATTTTGAGGGTAAAAGAAGGGAGGAAATAATGGAATATCTGTGGTCATTATTCACTCAAGGATATCTAGGCCCACTTCATAGATAATGCTTTAAGTTTTCTTGTTTTATTTTATAAAGAGGAATAAAATATTACTATAATAAGTACCAGCAGCTTTCATGATCCCTCCCATTCATTCAGTTTCTCCCCCAGCTTAAGAAACATAGGCACAACTGTCTGTTACCACCACACTCTAAGCTCTCTTAAGATTTCACCAGACCAAATAAAGACATCAGACTCAGGCCCACCAGGCAATTGATTTCCAAATGACTGGAACTCTTAAAGCCCTACTTGTTTTTCATACCAAGACTCAGAAAATTCCTAAAAAGCTAATTACTGATATTGGTAATGAGAAGGAGCTTCCCAGCACTTACAATTTTTGTTTCATTGAAATACATTTAAAATTTCCTTCCACAGGCACTTTTTCACAAAAATAAATAAATAAATGAAAAGAAAAAAAAATTCCTAACAACTTGGTTCCATTACCCTTTTTTTCAGGTACAGAGCAGTTGCCTCCTGGAGTCGTGTTCAGGGAATTGGAATTCCTTTGGTAACTGCCATTGAAATAGTCTCAATCTGGATCCTGTCCTTTATCCTGGCCATTCCTGAAGCAATTGGCTTCGTCATGGTACCCTTTGAATACAGGGGTGAACAGCATAACACCTGTATGCTCAATGCCACATCAAAATTCATGCAGGTACTAATCATTTAAAAGGAATTAACTGGGGAAGGGAGGAGTTCCTCCATTATACTTCACCATCTTGAGACTTGATGACATCACCACAATGCCAAGTGTGGTTTATTCTGTCAAATATTCTTCAGTTGCATAAAGAGTAGATGTTAAACCTGTGTCTACATTCTTGAATGGAACAGTTATTTTGGCTTTCACTCTTGTATTATAGCACAATGGTAGACACAACTGTTATTTTGCACCAAACCACTAAGCATACCAAATTTACTAAGAATACCAAATTTACTAAGAGGGACTAGATGTGTGTGCATATATATTTATACACTATTTGTTTTTATAATAATGAATATAACACAATTTCCATCTGGAAGATGTGCTGATGTTTATCTTATGTCACTTGGGGAGAAGGATATTTCTTGCATTCTTTAAAGATGGATTTACTAATTCAAAGTAGAGAGTAGTACTTACATGTACTTATGTTAGTATGATTTCTCTAATATACAAATAATATAAAATTGTAGACCTTTTAAAAACAAAATTTTGGTTTAACAAATTCAATCGTTATTTTTCTTTTTTTTTTTTTTGAGATGGAGTTTCACTCTTGTTACTCAGGCTGGAGTGCAATGGCGTGATCTCGGCCCACCGCAACATCCGCCTCCTGGGTTCAGGCAATTCTCCTGCCTCAGCCTCCTGAATAGCTGGGATTACAGGCATGTGCCACCATGCCCAGCTAATTTTTTGTATTTTTAGTAGAGACGGGGTTTCACCATGTTGACCAGGATAGTCTCCATCTGTTGATCTCGTGATCCACCCGCCTTGGCCTCCCAAAGTGCTGGGATTACAGGCATGAGCCACCGTGCCTGGCCAATTGTTATTTTTCTTAATACACCTGATCACATTAATGTTTTTCTGAAAAGCTTAATCACATGACTGTTTTAGGAAACGTATTTAAAATGGATCTTTTCTTTGCAAAACTAGTTATATGTGGACTGAGGAGGAAAACCAAAAGGATACGTATTTGTCTTAAATCAGCATAATTTAGTGCTTTGATGTAAGTTTCATACAGCTCACATTCCACATGTAAGTCTTTATAGACATCTCAAGGTATGTTTTCCCAACTTGGAAAATTCACAGAACTCATGGTTTTACAGTTGACCAGTTATCCTCCTTGGAAATTCTTGTTTTAAAATTAAAAGTGCTCATGAAAACTGCCAAACTAGTAATTTAAAATTGAAGATTTTTATTGGGTCAGTCTTCAAAGTGAAAAAGTAGACAGTAGGAGATTGTCAAAATTTGGGCAGTTTGAATAAGCAATCTAGATATTCCATATGCAAATGTTACAGAAAAGAGGATCACTGTAAGAAGGAGCTTACTAATCATTAGCGCCAGACACAACGAAAAGGGCTGCTTCGTAAAGACTGAATCTTTTTTCTAGATGTGTTCAAGTAAAGGGTAGCTACCCTTCGGGCATGGGTGGCCTAGACGATTGTAATAAAGGGTATGAGTTGAACAGGTAATCTTTTAGAGTTCATTCCAAGTCTGAAATCCTGTCCTTTTTTTCTAAATTTATGTCCCTTCTTTATTCCACTCTTGCTCTTCAACTTTATCCTAGGCTGTTAGAAGACCCCTCTTTACCCTTGCTGATGACATCAGTTCCAAAGAGATGCATTACCTGTTTCTCTGTAGGCTTTTGCCATGGAGGGGGCAAGGGACTCCATTCAGCCCTCTCAAGAGTCAGACTTCAGACCCTCTGCAGCTGCTTCTGGGTCATTTGCACCCAGCCAGCAAATGCACTAGGAAAAAGAGGATACAAAAAAAGGGAGAGTGGGTGCTCAAAGGAGTGTTCATGTTGCATTTCAAAAAAGAGAGATAAAGTGCTTCTGACTTTTTCTAAGTTCAGGACTGAAATCTTTCTACAGTGTGTTGGGAACAGAGAAATGTTTGTGTAAGTAGTTTAGAATAAACCAACTCCTTTGGGAGTTTGCACTTAACCTGAGGATAGAATTCAGAGATCTGTGAACTTGGATGGAAAAGAAATGACATGTTTATTTTCACTAACTTCTAACTGAATTTATCATTTCATTCAATAATGAATGTACACAACAAATCATCATAATGTTTAACAGTACCATGACTTTTTCACTAATAAAAATAGCAGACATTTTCATACCATGTAACACTGTATAATCTCGAAATATCATTTACGCTCATCAGAACTTTAACACTTCAACAGTTTGGTAGTTATTAGGACTACCATTAGGTTTGTTATTTGTGAATAAACACACACAATACTATATCAAAATTTAATTTCTAATATTTTGATAGCTGCGTTTTAATGTAATTGGTTTCCATTGCAATCTTATGTATTTTATTTGATGCATATAAAAGTATTACTCTCAGAAGGGATTATAGTCTTCACCAGACTTCCTAAAGGGTCTGTGGCATAAAAATAGTCAAGAACTCCTGCCCCAAACTTTTCGTCTTGAGGAACCATTTTTAGATGATTTTAATAGACATGTCATAAATGCAGCCCACTTAGCCTCTTTCTATATTCGGAAACTGTCCCATTTTTTATAGAGGAGCTTGATTATTTTTTACTGTGGGAACTGCATTGTCCTTAGTAAATTAACAATCTGAAGAAGCATTATAAGGAAAGAAAAAGCATTTCTTCCCAAGTTGGTAATTAATTTTGTGGGAAGAATTTAGATATCATTTTTCATTTTCCATTTTTATAGGGCATTAAGTTTTCTTCTCTAAAAAGATATAAAACTGAATAATCTTGGTATTTATAAATCCTGCCTGGTCAGATAATGCCAGATATGCCTTCAGTTTAGGTATGCTGCCTCAATAGTTTCCAGGTGGTAAGTATTAAAGGAGAGAGAAGAGTATAGTCATTGATGTTCAAACTGGCTGGCTTTGAGGTCACATAGCAGGCATACCAGGCAGAGGGTTAACCCCTGTTCACCAAAGCTACACAGATAAGCCATTCATAACCTTCACTGTTTCAAGTTAAATACACTTTCACCACAATAGTCAAAATAAAGCAGGTGCTAACAAAATGTTGAGGTTCATCAAAAAATAAAGATAAACATATATATTTTTGTCTTAAAATCATGTTTTATGAGCTTTAAAAGAACATTATTTTATTGATTAGGGCTCTTTCATTGTGTAGTTGAAACCAACTTCAATCTATGAAAAGTATCCTTGTCAAGATAATTTTTATAAGTGCAGTTTCTTTATGTGCTGTTTAAAGACCAGATAATTTCTGAAGTTTCCAATTTAATTGAGTTTTGAGGACCACCCCCAAACCTATTACTGCAACCAGAGAGTATGATTTTACAAATTCATCTGCAAGTCTAAAGATCTTGAAGCTACTAGAAGCATGATGCAGTTAATTGACATGACTCTGCTTCCCCCTTTTCTTTTTTTTTTTTTCTTCACTTTGAAGTTCTACCAAGATGTAAAGGACTGGTGGCTCTTTGGGTTCTATTTCTGTATGCCCTTGGTGTGCACTGCGATCTTCTACACCCTCATGACTTGTGAGATGTTGAACAGAAGGAACGGCAGCTTGAGAATTGCCCTCAGTGAACATCTTAAGCAGGTAAATCTCATAATATCATGAATCTGGACAGGACTGGTTAGTCCTGGACAGCAGCAGGCCTGCAGATATTATTGTCTTTAGCAAAATTAGCCTATTTCCTAAAATAAAAATACCGTCTTGTAACTGTTTTCTTTATAGTAATAGTGTTAGAAATTTCTTTTATAAAATAGGAAGGCTGCCTGTGAAACAAGTGGTCCTGAAGGCTGGGCCCAAAATTATTCCTCTATTTTGCCAAGAGTGCTTTGAGCGTGTGTGTGAGTCCATGCATTGAACTGGGCTTGGAGCTGTACCAGGACACAAAGAAGCATATGACTTTCTCCCCATGCAGACTTACAGTCTTGTTGTAGATATAAAATACACATGAAAAACAACTGGAAAATAGAATCACAGTTGTGGTCCAAGTAGCCTGTGCTACAGAAAGCCAGGGAGGGTATGAGATAGAGTCATGGGGAAGCTATTCATGGACGAGGGAGACTGAACTGAACCTTGAAGGATAAATGGGATTTGATGGGGAAGAAGTCGACAGAGAGCATTTCAGGTGGAAGAACATGAAGCTAGTTAGAATGTGGAATAGGAACCATGCATTTGGGGAGTAGGAAAAAGGAGATAAACCTCATTAGAGCAATGTCTAATGTGAGATTTACACTAGGAAATGGGATCATGTACATTAGAAGAGGTAAAATGTTGGAGGGCCCAAAGTTCTAGAAGGAATTTGAACATGTCAGTCAGAGGCTAATGTTGGTCCCTCCTGGGTGAAATTAGAACAGATAAAGCTGTGGGCTTTCAAGGGCAAAACTAGACTCATACTTAGCTCTCTGATCTTGGGCAAATTGCTTAATTTCTCTGCACGTCTATTTTCTCATGATATATATAAAATAAAACATCATGGGGATTGCCTGAGACATGTAAGGTGCCTAATAGAACCCAGCTCCTAGTAGGTATTATGCAAAGGTTAATTTACGTTAATTCTAAGAGTAAAACTAGGACTTCAGGTAAGTTCCCTGTTGCAATAGAAAAGTATATAATGATGTTCAACTACACCAAAAGTTACTGTGAGTTGTTGATGGAGTCTGTAAATTTGTCTTATATAATTACCATGTCCCATATAATTACCTCATCAGCAACTCTTTTCAACTACCATATTGATTTTTCTGAGTGTCAGCTCTTCATCCATAAATTGGGCATAAAATATATGAATCAATCATATTATGAGAATCAAAAGGACGAATGTGTATGCATGTACTTTGTATAATCTAACATGCCATACAAATGGTAGCTATTATCTTTTATTGACATTTAGCAGGAAGACTACATTGAGAAACCTTAGTATGACTTTGTTCAGGCATGAAAGTTTTAAATACTCCCAATTGCTTAATATGTTTACAATTATTTCCTCTCATTCTTGGAATGGAGGTAGTTAGAATGGGTTTGTGAAAAACAATGTTTTAAAATATGGTTTTTTGCATTCGCACTGTGATTGAGGCTGTTTAAGCTATGAGTGGTATTTGCAGTGGAAATAATTAAATAAGGTTTAGGAACAATAGTCCTATGCTGCTTCATGTTTACATAGCATTTTTTAAGTTTTAAAGCGCATTTCCATCTCCATGTCTTTTTCTTATTTGATTCCTCCTAGGGCCCTATGAGATAGGTAGGATATATATTATCTTTATTATACAGGTGATTAAGAAATTTGCTCAACCAAATGGAGATTCAAATCCAAGATTTTGTCCTCATGCAGTTAATGTTCCTTTTGGTGCCACTCAAAGCTGTAGCAAACCCTAATAACAGAAGAGCAAGGGTGACTGGAGGTCCTGCAGATGGGACTGTGAGAGAGCCAGCATACAGCACAAAGCCTTGCCATCCTGACTAACACTCTGTAGGGCTCATGGTTTTGCTTCTTGCTTGGTTGTCTCCAATTTCTCCTTATCATAGTGATGACAGTTTTATCAATTAGGGGTTATGTTTGGATGCTGGGAACACAAAACTCAAAATAACAGTTAGTTGATCAAGAAGTTTATCTTTCTCCCATAGCAAAAAGTTCAGACATCAAGGTTTAGTGGTCAAGCCAACTTAGAGGCCAGGTATCTACCGTTTTGCTAATCTTTCCTTCAGTCTTCGAAGACAGTAGCAGCAGCTCTACTTTTACACCTGATTTCCAAGCAACAAGAGGGGAAGAGCACAAAATAACATACAGTGGGTGTACACCAAAGAAATGTTCCTATACTTTTCAGTGGCTCTTCTGGAAATGCATGCAATGGTTTCTTTTTCATCTAATGGGCCAAAACTGTGCCAAGTGGCCATGTAGATGAGTAGGCCAGACTCCCTAGCTGCCATAACAAATCAAGAATTGAGTGACGGTAAGGAAGACAGGAGAATGGATATTGGTTAAGCAAATATCAGACTAACATGGCAATGTACTAATAATACCTTTTAAAAGGGTTATCCTTTTTGAGTATGCACTCAGGAAAGGTAACCCCTCCCTTAATACATTGTTTTTCTATTTTTCTGGGCATGCTATCTTTCTGGACAAATAAAATTACCCTTTTAAAAAGAGTCCCCATTCCTACAGATTTGATTATTTTATTTCTTCCCTCAATCGTTACTCTGAAGTCATATCCCAGCTAGCCCAATAACTGTGAGAGGTTAAAGAACTCTCAATTCTTTGGGCTAGTGTAGCGAGTTATAAAAACTGCCCCAGAATATTTTTGATTGGCTCAGCCAATCAAGTGAGTTTACTGTACGCTTCCCAGACTTAATGTTGTATGTTTCAAGTCGAGCCAGCATTACCCTTCCAGACTCTGTTTTCAATCAGTTTTATTTTGACATTAACTGATCCCAGTTACAGACAAGTTGCATTTTATGTTCCTAGTCAGGCTTCTAAATGCATGCAATATGATACTCAAATAATGCACACCAATGAATAGTTGCAGATAATTCCTAACCTACAGTTTTTCTGATCTGGAGCAGACTCAAAGGCATGCAAACCTTCCACAAAGTCAGTCCGAGGTCAGCATGTTCCAGATTTTCCAGATTGTTTGCAAATAATATGCAATATTTTTAGAAACTATATGTCATAAAGAAAAGAATTTAAAGAGCAAAAAGTCCCAATAGTAGCTGTGTTCAAGATCAGGAAAAGGAGAAAACATATTGCTATTACTTTTCTGCTCTCCACTCCTATTTTGTTTTCTCAAGGTCTTTGCTGATTTGTCCATTCATTGTCATATCATGTTCAGTCTCCTTGCCTGCCATGCCATCATTAATGCTAATTAGTTAGCTGTTATTAAGAGCCATTAGCTAACCCTTTCCCCCATGCAGTCACACCCCACCCACCTACACACACATACACACATACATGCAGACTCAGCCACAGTGGTGTTGCCTCACCTCCAGCCAGTTCCCACCTCTCTCCTGGCATATAACCTCTATCCTGGCCCTAATAACCAACCTGAGGTCCCCATCCTTCCTGGAAGCTGCCCAGAAGTATCATTAGCAATTCCTTGATTAGAATGTGACCTTAGAATCTTGAAGACCTAGAGGCACTGTAAGCCAGGCTGTTCTCCTGGCTCTTTTTGAATTACTCTTTCCCTGATGTCTGCTACTTCCTAGTAGTGTAGTTTTTGCACCTAGTATAAAAACACTAAACTTGTTGTACTTTCTTTTTTCTCACTTTCCTTTAGCGTCGAGAAGTGGCTAAAACAGTTTTCTGCTTGGTTGTAATTTTTGCTCTTTGCTGGTTCCCTCTTCATTTAAGCCGTATATTGAAGAAAACCGTGTATAATGAGATGGACAAGAACCGATGTGAATTACTTAGGTACGATCCTATGTACTTGCTAGAAAACTGGAGTTTCTCAGATTTACATATCTATAATACTTTTACAAAACCACCTAGTCTACATTCCCATTAGCCCTGAAAATTAAAACTGCAAAGTTGAGTTTTTTCTTTAGCTGACATAGCCTATAACTGATCCCAAAATCTGTGCGAGCCACATCTGTTATCTTGCCACTCCCCTCCTGAGACTGTGCATAGGGTTTCAGCTAACCAAGTAGTGATGTATCTGTAACTGTCCTGCAAAACTGAAACTGCCATTTAAACAAGCACTTTTAACAAAATTCTAACTGCCACCTATAAGAAATGGCTTCTGGGCAAGAAAAATGCTTATACTAGGAATAAATGCTAGTTAGCAGATTTTAAAACAATATGTTCTAATTATTCTGTGCCACTTTCTTTTGCTCTAGTTTCTTGCTGCTCATGGATTACATCGGTATTAACTTGGCGACCATGAATTCATGTATAAACCCCATAGCTCTGTATTTTGTGAGCAAGAAATTTAAAAATTGTTTCCAGGTAAGATGATTTTTCAAGTATTTTTTTAAAGACAACAAAATGAATATACTAAACAGTCAACAGACACAGCCAATTCCAGTTGCAATATTACTTTGATCAGCTGTACTCCTTTTTAGCAGTGAAGTGGAAGTCATGTTTTATTACCCAGAAAGAGTCAGATTGTCAGCATAACAGAAAAGCAGTTCTTATTTAGACAACCACATACAAAGAGGTTAAAATCAAAAGGACTAAATCACATGCCAGTTTAGAGCCCTCCTTTAGAGATGAATGTTCCAATGTATGCTCCAGGCCACACAGAGTACATAAGAACTATTCATACCTTACATTGTCTTAGACTTGAACCAAAGTCTCAACAAAATATAAACTCTATTGTTAAGAAAGCGCTCACTAAATGCTATTTAATTGTGTGCTTAGTAATAGAATCTTCTAGGATAGTAAGTGCTTATTGCTGTGGGAATCTGAACAAATATAATTTTATTCAAAATCAGTTTCCTTCTGCTTTCAAGCCTCCAGCCAGCTCAGCCACCCAGGTCCTTCAGAAGCTCTCAGCCTGTGTTATTCATGTGTCATTTTCTGGCTCCTGGAAAATGGTTTTAGCATAGACTTAATCCTCACTGGATTTTGTTATCTTGGAAGAGGCTGTTTAACTTCAGTTTACGGTACATATGATGCAGAGTAGGGTAGAGGTCAAGAATGCAGGCTCTGGAAGCAAAGAGCCTGGATGGACATCACAACCCTGCACTTGATAACTGTCTATCCCAGGTCTGGTTAGTGCCTCTCCGGCTTTTTCAGTTTCCTCACCTATAAAATTGGATGATCACAGTATCTCTTTCATAAGGAGGGTAATATTCACTTAAAATAATAAGTGCTCAATATGAGTTGATTACTATTAGGGACAGAGTAGAGAGGAAAAACACAGTACTGCCCTCATGGAACTTACAGTCTAAACAGAGACAGACATATATTAACCAAAGAATCACACAAATAGATGAAACTTGGTATGGAAGTTTTGGGCTGTATTTCTGAGATCTTCTTGGAAATGTTTGCCAGTCACAAAACGGTCTACCTAAAATGGATTGACTAACACGCACGTTAAAACTAGTACATTATATAAGCTGAAATTAATTATTATTTATGCATTAATTTACATATTCATTGAGAGGAGGGGAAAATCAAGGTAAAAATTATAAGAAATTAATCCCACTTTTTGTTGGATCTTCCTAAAAAGGCAGCATACCCAAGAGAAAGAGCCCAATCTACAGAGTCATGGGTTCTAATGCCAGTTCTGCCTCTCATTATCCTCCCTGGACCTCACTGTCCTCATTCATAAAATGAGGGATTAGCACCTGCCATCCAAGGCTGTTGTGAGGATCTGATGAGGTACCTGGTGCAGACAGCCACACAGTTGGTGCACACTGAAAAAATGCTAGGACCCCCCCCTTGCCCAGCCCTACCCATGCCTGCCCCAAGCGGTGGAGAACCCTCCCTCTCACCAATACTGCCTTCCCTTTTTCTTGTACATGGTAATAGAATTAAAATGAGAAACAAAGACTCTACTTCTCTGAACTGGAATGGACAGTTTAACTCCTGCCTGGAGAGAACAGGCTCTCCACCTTAGGTTACTATAGAGGTTCACTTCCCTCAAATGCGAATGGACATTTTCCCCTCGTTGGTATGGCCCAAGGCCGCTGTGTTTGGCTGGGAATGGGCTGGTAGTCTCGCCTTACTTCGAGTCTGTTCCTTCCCCCAGTCATGCCTCTGCTGCTGCTGTTACCAGTCCAAAAGTCTGATGACCTCGGTCCCCATGAATGGAACAAGCATCCAGTGGAAAAACCATGATCAAAACAACCACAACACAGATCGGAGCAGCCACAAAGACAGCATGAACTGACCACCCTGAGAAGCACTCCTCGGGTACTCCCATAATCCTCTCGGAGAAAAAAAAACACAAGGCAACTGTGACTCCGGAAATCTCTTCTCTGATCCTTTTTCTTAACTCACTCCCACACCCAAGAAGAAAGGCTTTCCAAAACCACAAGGGTAGACTGGTTTATCCACCCACAACATCTACGAATCATACTTCTTTAATTGATCTAATGTACATATTCCATGTGTTGTGTTCAGCACTAAAAAATGGTGGGAGCTAGGGGAGAATGGAGACTGTTAAATGAAAATAGAAGGGCATTTGCTACTTTTGCATGAAAATAGAGTTTTCGAGTACATGGCTAGCTGTTATGGCAGTCCTGGTAAATGTTCAATGGGAGCTGGTCACCATGAAATGTTAAGAGATTATGACAAGATTTTCTACTTTTTTTAAGTGATTTTTTTTTCCTTCAGCCAAACACACTATGGGCTCAAGTCACTTGTATTTGAAATGTCATTTGGTGCCAGTATTTTTGAACTGCCTAATAGCCTAACATGATTATTTGAACTTATTTACACAGTTTGAAAAAAAAAAAGAGAGATAGAGAAAGACAAAAATAGTATTCAGGTGAGCAGTTAGAATTTTTCATGTCACTGTTTTTTTAAAAAAAAATACAACACAAATTCCAAAGCTACGGCAAATACTACAGGCCCTTAATACACAGTCTGATGACACACTGGGCAGTTTAACAGATGTTACTCAAAGAACTTTTTAAAACTGTATTTTCTTTTTTAAATGGTGTTTTATTACAAGAGATTTGAATATGTTTTGTATGTCAAATTCAAAAGTAATGCTTGAATCAGATAGTTCTTTTTCACAAGTCCAATCTGTTTTTCATGTAAATTTTATATGTAAAATCAGTATCATGTACCAAAATTTAAATGTATGTGTCATTTAACTCTGCCTGAGACTTTCAGTGCACTGTCTATAGAAGTCTAAAGCCCATGTAGGAGAAAAAGATTGAATTTTTCGGATGATTTGGAAATTTTCATTGAGGTATTTTTAATAGTAACTATATATGTATATACCTATCACCTCCTATTCTCTTAATTTTTCTTAAAACGTTAATGGGCAGTAAACCTTTTTTGGTCATTCCCTTTTCCATATAAGGAAACATAATTTCAAAGTGGCCAGATGAGTTTATCATGTCAATGAACAATAGTTACCCCCAAATAACACCAGAACTTATGGTTCTTCGCTTCTCTGGGTTTTCAGTATGAACCTAAATCCCCACCCCACCGTCTGTCTCCCACATTGTTACCATTTCAAAGGGCCCACAGTGACTTTTGCTGGGCATTTTCCCAGATGTTTACAGACTGTGAGTACAGCAGAAAATCTTTTACTAGCATATGTGTATATATATAAACAATTGTAAATTGCTTTTAGCCCACTTTTCTGGACTGTCTCTGTGGAATGTATTTGTGTGTGATATATGCATGTGTGTGATGGTATGTATGGATTTAATCTAATCTAATAATTGTGCCCTGCAGTTGTGCCAAAGTGCATACTCCAAGTAACCTGCCTGGTCCATTTTAACCTGTACCAACCTTCTGCATTCGTAAATCTTGTGACCATGTTACCATTACAAATAGACTATAAGAGGCAACATGAAAGTGGATGAGCTGTGGACTAGCAATATAGGGTTTTGTTTGGTTGGTTGGTTTGATCAAGCAGCATTTAGGGTCATATTGTTTCCTGTACTAGAACAAAAGTTATTACAATTTGAAGTATTACATTGTTCTTATCCTCAACTCAGTGTGGTAATGAAATTGCCAGGTTGTCTGACGTGTCATACTTCAACAGACAGATCACTGATAACGAATTAGGTAAGATAATTTGTTGGGCCATATTTTAGACAGGCACAGGTAAAATAACATCAGGTTCCAGTTGCTTGAATTGCAAGGCTAGGAAGTACTGCTCTTTTGTGTGTTAGCAGTCAAATCTATTATTCCACTGGTACATCATATGCAGTGATACATGCCTATAACGTAAGCCATAGGTTCACATCATTTTGTTTAGACAATTCCCTTTTTTTTCAATATGTTTTGTTTCTTTCATATAAAAAAATGCATTTTTAAATTCAGAAAGTCATAGATTTCTGAAGGCTTCAATGTGCATTTTATTTATGGACTGGTAAATAACTGTGGTTTACTAGTAGAAATATTTCCAATTTCTACCTTTACTACATCTTTCAACAAGTAACTTTGTAGAAATGAGCCAGAAGCCAAGGCCCTGAGTTGGCAGTGGCCCATAAGTATAAAATAAAAGTTTACAGAAACCTTTCAGGTGTCTCTTCATTTTTACATAGTTTTCCATAGAAAATGTTTGTTATATAATGCCTGTTGCAAATCTCTCCTTAGTAATATCCTGGAAAGCAATTTACTATCAAACAGGTACCTCCTACCTCTATTCTCAACCAACCTATTTTGTTGTACTCAGCATTTAACTCTGTCATTCATTCCTTCATTTACCTTTCCAGCAAGTCTAACTGGGCATCTACTATGCACCAGGCATTCTTCCAGATATTGGAGACATAGTAAACAAAAAAGGCAAAGTCCTGGATCTCATAGCGCTTGCATTCTAGGAAGAAGATAGGCAATACACAATTACAGTCAATAAGCAATATGTCAGGTAGATGTCTGGAGGAAGAGACTCATATATATCCAACTGTTTATTTGACATCCACAGTTGGATGGGTAGTAGACCATAATATATCCAAAATGAAGGTCCTGATAGCTTCCAGCCTGTACTGCCATAATATTCCTCTGCTCACTTAAAGACAGCCCCATTTTTAAAGAGTTGTTCAGGATAAAAACTTTGAAATCATTGCTCATTCCTTTACCTCACACCTTAGAGCCAACCTCTCAATAAGTCCTGAGAGTCCTATCTTAAGAATATATCCAGCACCTGACCACTTCTTTGTCTCTGCCTCTACCTCCCTAGTCAGAGCACCATCTTCTCTTGCCAGGATAACTACAATAGGCCCCTGACATGCCTACTTGTTTCCAGCCTTGTAAACAGCTGTATTCCAGTTGAAGCCAATCTCTCCTCTCCCATATGTGATTAGTTTAGGTGGGGCTGACCAGCATCCTCTGGGAGTTTTTCCAGTAAGAACTAAGTCAGAAAGAGCTCTTTTCCTACCAAAGCAGGGATGGGAGGCTGTGAGCATGGGTGTGGCTGGACGCTGTGGTGGGGCATTATGAAGAAAATCAATCTAAAGTCTCACAAAGACGAAGAGCATTAAAGCCCCCAGTTCTAGTTCTCCTTGATGCTTTCTTGTGGCTTCAGTAAACAAACCAACACATTTACCTTTTCACCTACACTACTTAAATCTGGTTTTCTGTTGCTTGCAATACACGTATTCTAAGACCATGTCAAATAAGAATTGAGTCATCTTTTGTTATTGTTAACTTAATAGACTTGATGTTTTTTAGAGCAGTTCTAGGTTTACAGAAAAACTGATCCAAAATTATAGAAAATTTTTACATGTCCTCCTTTCTCCCCCTTCCCCACACAGTTTCCCCCTATTTTTTACACCTTGTATTAGTGTGGCACATTTGTTAGAGTAAACAAACCAATATTGATGCAATACTATTAACTAAAGATTATAGTTTACATTAAGGTTCACTCTGCTCAACATTCTATGGGTTTGGACAAATGTATAAGTCACATAGCCACCATTGCAGTATCATTCAGAAGAGTCCCGCTGCCCTAAAAAATCCCCTGTGCTGCATCATTTCATCCCACCCTCCATCCCCCTCTTGATTTATCTGTTCACTCAACACAGATACCATAAACAACCATCATATTACATTGTGCTAATAGCTGGGAACAGGAAATCAGATGTATAAGCAAATAAATGCAGTGACAAGCTTAGTGGTGACTCAATAGACATCAGCATAGGGGCTGGTAAAGGCACAAAGGAAAGAGTAGTCAAAATTCTTTTAACTTCAGTTGGTGAACATCAGCGGACAAGTATGAGGGCCTTTGCTTCCGTAACTCTCATTTTACTTTGCATGAATGTTATGTCACCGCCAGGAGAACAGCATAAGAATAAGCAATATAGTATTGCCTCTACATTATGAGTTTTTATAAAGTCAATAAATACATATTATTTTCCATTCAAAAGTAAACCCAGTAAATTTAAAATTATCCAAATAATAAAACACAATTCCTAGATATAACTAGGAAATAGCTGAGACAAATGTCAATCTTTGACTAATCTATTACCTCTACTGTGGTTCTTAGGAGTATCACTAGTTCATGAGATAGCATGGAAAACCTTCTATGTGTAGAGTGAAGGAAACGCACTGCCAGCCTTCCCAAACCACTCCAAGCTCATGATTCTGAGTCTTCTATTTCTTTATTTGTAAAATAATAGAGTATAGCACTGTATTATCGATTTTTCTCTATACTTCAAAGCAAAGTTAAAGCAGAGCGCAAGTTCACCATATGCAGTTGAATGTTTCTGAAATTCCAGTGGGGTCTTCACATTGAAAACCCCAGTGGTTTTTTAAATAATCCTACATTTGGAAAATCTTCTGCCATACTTTTCTCTAAATAGTAACAAGACAAACCAGTGTCTATATTTGGTCAGCACTGATACACTTCAACTTTTTGTTTCTAAAACTGAAAGGAGACAGACTTGAGTTCCTAGAATCAGGAAAGAATCAAAAATTGAAAATAACATTGTAACTGTAAAACTGGGCTTTCTCTATGAGACATGCTGGAATAGTTCATTTTTGATTTGATGAAGCCAGGACTCATTATGTCTCCTAGTTTCCCAAGCTTTTAGCATCAATATGATTAAGTAGATCCTATCATCTGTGTTTCTTTCAGGGAGGTAATAAATTAGGAACAGCAGAGCCAACCCTAGTTAGGATTGGAAGAGTCACGGAATCTTCCTAGAGGAATATAGAGAATTCCACAAATTTTTCCCTTTTAATCCTAAACCACAGTTATCTAGTTTATCTACACGGAACTGATCATCTTTCACTTGAATTTGATTCTATGAAAGTAGATACAATTGTATACTTGATGTTGTGTGATAGATTTGTCCCAGATGGGAGTAATGACATAGTACCACATTGTCAGCCAAATCACAGGCCCAAGGCACCTCCAGAGCACATTTTTGTTTGGTTTTTTGTTTGTTTGTTTTGTTTTGAGACAGGATCTTACTCTGTTGCCCAGGCTGGAGTGCTGTGGTACAACCTCGATTCACTGCAGCCTCAACCTCCTGGGCTCAAGAGATCCTCCCACCTCAGCTTCCCCAGTAGCTGGCACTGCAGACACATGTCACCATACCCAGCTAATTTTTGTATTTTTAGTAAAGACAGGGTTTCCCCATGTTGCCCAGGGAGGTCTCAAACCCCTGAGCTCAAGAAATCCACCTGCCTCAGCCTCCAAAAGGGCTGCAATTACAGGCGTGAGCTACCCCATTCGACCTCTAACTCACTCCTTTTATGCATGCTTTTTTCAGAATAAAGCCATTTCTCCATGAACTATATCTCTCTCTTTCTCTCAGAGTATGACTTATGGGGTTAACTTCAGTTAAGTGCTTGTGCTTCTAAAATATCCTAAAATGAGAAAACCTACTAAATATGAGCAGGTGAAGGGAATATATTTGTGCCTAATGAAAAATTAATGTCATAGGTCCAATCTTTCCTCCATGTTATGAAATCTAATAGGGTTAGGCTGGCTTACTGCCCCTCCCTCTCAGTCAAGATTCCATTGGGACAAATGGAATTCTGCTGACCAACTTAGATGTAGCAAGCAGGGCCAACCCCTGTAGCTGGGGGTAGGAGGGTGACTTCCCAAAGAAAGGAGAATTGGCCAGATACAGTGTGGTTCATGCCTGTAATCCCAGTACTCAGGAGTTCAAGACCAGCCTGACCAACATGGCGAAACCCCGTCTCCATGAAAAATACAAAAATTAGCCAAACATGGTGGTGGGCACCTGTAATCCCAGCTACTTGGAAGGTTGTCTAGCTACTTGGGAAGCTGAGGCGGGAGAATCTGTGGAACCCAGGAGGTGGAAGTTGCAGTGAGCTGAGATGGTACCAGTGCACACCAGCCTGGGTGACAGTGAGACACTGTCAAAAAAAAGGAAGGAAGGAAGAGAGGGAGGGAGGGAGGGGAAAGAAAGAAAGAAGGAAGGAAGGACGTGAGGGAGGGAAAGAAAGAAAGGAAAGAAGGAAGGAAGAAAGGAAGAAAGGGAGGGAGGGAGGGAAAGAAAGAAAAAAAGAAAGAGAAAGAAAGAAAGAAAGAAAAAAAGAAAGAAAGAAAGAAAGAAAGAATTGTCTATGTATCTTGCTACTCTTTATTTCAGCTCCTTCTTGACATTTTTAGCTCAGGTCATTTGTCAATTTTTATTAGTTTTTAAAAATAATTTTCCCTTACAAATTCTAAAAAGAATATATCAAATATATGAATAATATCTTTAAAACTCTTATAGAACAATAATTAATAAACAATCCATATATATATGGAGGAAAACCATATATATGGTGATATAGTTTGGCTCTGTGTCCTCACCCATCTCTCATCTTGCAGCTCCCATAATTCCCACATGTGGGAGAGACCCAGTGGGAGATGACTGAATCATGGTGGCAGGTCTTTGCAGTGCTATTCTCGTGATAGTGAATAAGTCTCAAGAGATCTGATGGTTTTTAAAAGGGGAGTTCTCCTCCACAAGCTCTCTTCTCTTGTCTGTTGCCATGTGAGACATGCCTTTCACCTTCTGCCATGATTGTGAGGCCTTCCCAGCCATGTGGAACTCTAAGTCCAATATTCCTCTTTCTTTTGTAAATTGTCCAGTCTTAGGTATCCCTTTATCAGTAGCTTGAAAACAGACACATATGGGGATATGTATCTTGCTTATCCAGTCGTTTGCTACCCTAAACAACACTATGCTATACATCATTGTCAAGTCTCCAGGGGGACTTGCATGATTTCTCTGGGAGATGTAAGTAGAACTGCTGCTGGGTCATCGGGTTTGTGCATAGTTAATATCACTAAATACAGCCAGGCTGTATCCAGAATGGCCACACTTGTCCTGGGTTGATTCATAATTTAAGAGTTTAGCATCCTTGCAATTGACCCACTATACACTGGAACTATCACAACAGAGGAGCATATACCATTAGGGACACATAGCAGACACTGTCAAAGAGAAGACTGGACCCCCTTGCATCCATTTTACCAGCTCTCTCCACTCATCTCCAGCTTCAATGTTTTGGGGGGGGGGGGTTGTTGCATTTTGTTTGTTTTTCAAATAGCGTCTC